CACCCAACTTTTAATGTAGATAATAGTATCTTTGCAATAATAAACACAATATCATGAAAAGTCAATTTAAGAAATTAAAAAGGAATAACTTCAGTTTCGAATTGCAAAAATGAACACCAATTCGTTCAGAACAGCAATCGTCCCTCTTATCAAAATGGCAGTAAGCGACAAACTAACGAATCTACACGCGGGGAGACAGTATGTCCTTCGACCTTGAAACTAGCTGACGAATGGTTAATTCTTTTCCCTTAATTAGCCAAGAACCTTCGCAGAAGTGTAAAGCAGTTTCCGATGTTAAATTAAAGACAACAGAAGAGAAAATACGATTCGAATTTAGCTTTGCATACAGGCAAAGCAATGAAGAATTTAAAATACAATCTGTATAGTGCAATATAATTAAGTATACCAGCGTCCTATTAAAACAAAAAAAGGCGGTAGTAAAGTCTCTAAACGAATATCTGAAAACTCACTGTTTAATCTTTTCAATTTACCGATTAATATTACGGAAACAAAATTTCGCAGAGATTTTCCAACAGAAATATTAAAAAAAACAGTGGATTTTTAAATATTTGTTTTGAAATTTTACTACTAGTTTTTTTAGTTTTGGGAGGACGCTGTAACTCCTTGTTCACATAAACTAATATTTCACATGAGTAAAAGTTTTTAAATACAGAACAGTTCAACACTTTTAAGTGCACTTTACTGGTTCGGTTTACATGCCCAGTGATTACTAACCCCTTTTTTAACAATGAAAAAATAATACTGAAATTTATTATTGAAGATGATTATCATCGATTGATAATATTAAATCTTGAAGAACAAATCTCTGGCCACCTTTTTTTTAAAGTAATTTTCTTGCCTTTACCAAATGTTGCAATTATGCCCTTTGGGTATGAAATGTATTGATTTCATACAAGATAGTCAATATTGCTTTAGTTCAAACAAATCTGTTCGGCTTGGATATAAAACAATGTGAGACTGTTAAAATAAACGGGCCAAATAATAAGATAAAACTTAATTTGTTTTAATTCTTCAATTTAATTTAGCAAACGTAAATATTTTTTTTATTCAAGAGAAAATTTAATATAACTGCCAACATTGTTAAAGCCGCTGAAAATCCTTCATCACGTAATATATATACAGAAAATAACTAGTATAGATTAGTTTACATCGCAAATAATTTGTAAAATATTTCATTTCCTATTTTTATATTATCACAGAATAAAATCGCTCTTTTCGGGAATAATCACGATTTAAAGATAAATTTTAAATAAAGATAAATTTATGTTGTTTATACTTTAATTATAGTGGTTAAGTGTATTTTACATTACATGAACTAGACCAAGAAAAGTGTTCGACCACTGGGAATTATTATTGATAAAAAAGCATACAAATCTAGTAGCTACGAGTATTACTTATTTTTAAAAAACTTATTATTTAAAAAATGTTACAATAATTTAATGTTTATTTAAGGCTTAACGATAGCTTTAAGAATCATATTTTTTTATTGATATTTCATAGCTGCCTACTTGTATTGTCTTTGGAATAGATTTTAAAAAGTAGTTGTATAGTAAAACTCAAGGTTTTGGTATTGAAAATGTTCTAAAATTAAGCCATTTAGCCAACACTTAAAAGGATAACTTAACAGTAGGCAAAATAATTTACATTTTTTTAACGATTTGCCTTTTTAAAATTAAAATTTATACCCTAAAACATTAATGCTGTAACCAGAGGAAAAAGAAACGAAGAAAATATATATGTCCCTTTACGAGACATAACAAAGAAAAGACTTGTCGCCAGGACTACATACAAAAATAAATAAAGCTGTTTGAAAAAATAAAGCTGTTTGATTTGTGAAATTTTTTTTTGCATTTATTTATTATTTTATAAAATTTATTGGAAAAATATGTGGCTTTTAGAAAGAGCAACAGGTCTATTTTATTTAAAAAACGTTTGTAATTCTGTATGAATTGATGTTCCATGTTATAAATAAAGATATAAATATATCGCATCCCGGCAAGAAAAGTGACACAAGTCGATAAACAGTATTTGAGAAAATTCAACTTAAAGATTACTATAAAACTTATTCTGAAATAACACAATTTCAAGAGAGACATCCTTCGAGCTTGATGGAGCACTTCATACATATTTTTTATTGACATAACCTCAAAATTGCTGTTTTTTTTTACTTGCGTCACTTTTCTTGCCGGGGTGCGATATATACTTTTATGTTCTTCTACATAAAAAATTTATATTTGTTTAAAAAAAATCACATGAAGAGTGAATTATTTGAAAATATTATTTAGGGTTTATAATTTTATTACAGCTTTTTTTCGCTTATTTTAGTTTCAGTACTTCTGAGAACTAACAAAGACTGAAATATATTGCTATAATTTTATTATTTATATAATATATGATAGTGATATGGTTAGTAATTAGACCTTATATTTTGAAGCTGCTTATAAGTATATATTTTAAGTGGAAAAATTACAGTATCCAGCTAACTGTGAAACAAATGCAATTAGAGCATTTAATTTATATTTGTCAATTATTCATTTGGTGTTATATTCTAACTAAGCAATTCAACATGATTACTTTCAATTTTAAAAAGTCGCCAAAATTAACGATAAAAAAGTGCTTCAGCAAAAACTAACAGAAAGTGATACAAATAAGATATCATTGCATTTCTACTATAGAAATAAACTATCACACTCGTAAAAACTCTCTTATAGGTATATTTCCTCAGCACTTGCTCATACAGTTGAACGATGTTGATCTTAAACGATGCTTGGAAAGATGTGGGGGAAAAAATCAAAACTGTCAAATATAGAAACTGAGTGATTTTTAGTAAGCGAACTACTGTCCTGCTTCTTGGTAAACATCTTAAAATAGTTGCCCAAATTGCGTATATAAAATTCAGTTTTTATGAAATGGCGGAAATAGTGTCCCATTTCCTTAATCTAATTAATTAATTTTGCAGTTTTTTGGTACTAAGTATGCTTGCGAGCATTGTCATGAAAAAGATTGTTGTAGGATCACTTTTCATACTGGTAGCAAGAGACTTTCAGGTGAATTTTTTTAAAAACAATGTCGATTGATTAAAAATATATTTTATTAAATTGCATTAAAACTGTAGCTTTTAGAGAGAAACAGATTGCAATATCAAATCAGCAACAAAAATATTTAAGTTACGTAAGCATAATACAACATGAAACTGCGGGGAGGGATGTTTCTTAGTATTACTCTTATTCAAAGCATTAAAATGTTTTAGGGAAATATTAGTTACGATTTTACGCAAGCTTGTGTTGGGAAAAAAAATCTAAATCTATTCGAAATGTTAATTATTAGAAGTAATCCCTATGCCCAAGTGCAGCTTATCAATTTCGAGCTTTCTAACAAAAATGTTTCTTTTTCTAACTTTTTAAACTCTCACTATCTTATGTTAAAAGTCTGCTTATTTTGATTAGTTTCGCTTGTGGCCTTTGCTTAAAATGAGTAATTAAAATTGCCTCAAGAGGACGATAATGAGCTATGGACTGGGAGTCAAAGTGCTTATTATTTATTCGAAAGATATAAAAGAGATTTAACTTGAAAAGGAAATCGGTAAAATCTTCTTCAAAAATAAATTTATTCAATAAATGATTTGTCTTTATACTTTTAAATTCCTATGTGCTTGTATTTTGTTTAAATAATACTTTCTATTGTTAATTAATATCTGAACAAAGTAAGCTGAAAATTAACATCATCGAAATAATAATTAAAATATTAAATAAAACACGAAATATGTACAGAAACTTAAAAATAGAATTCCATGAAAATTTATTTGTAGTATCTCAATACATTTTTATTACTGGTCAACTGTGTTTGGGATTTATTTATTTTTTTTTTCAAAAGAAATAGATTCAGTTTTTGTCATAAATCTAAAACAATAAGAAATGAAACAATCTAACATTTTTAAAAGAAAAATTTTAAGTATTTTGCATAAAAATGAAAATTACTTTTAAGTATTGTATAATTTTGTTTATGTAATGTTTATATAATTTTGAAAAAACATAATTTAGGAAAAAAGATTTTAAAATTAATTGAATTAAGCAATTTTATTGCAATTGAAAAAATGCATTTTTGAGAGAATTGGAAGAAATAGAGTATCTCTTTTCCAAAAAAAAAAAATGTAAAGTACTTGGCAATTTACACTGAAATAATTCTTTTATTTAATTAAAGATAACAAAATATTTAATTTTTGGAGCTTACTTAATTTAAGAACACCATTTTGAACTAATTATTTCTTTATTTTTGATTTGTTAATATGACGATGCAGTTAAAATATTATAAAAAGTTAGAAAATTGTAGTTAACTTTTACTACAATTTTTTAAAGAAAAAATTCATAATTATCTTATATTCATCATTAAAATTCGAAATTATCTTATTAAAAATTCATAATTATCTATTAAAAATTATAATTATCTTAAAAATTCATAATTATCTATTAAAAATTATAATTATCTTAAAAATTCGTAACTATCTATTTTATTTTTGAAAGGATATTGCGACCATTGTCTTTTTAGCTCTCTCTCTTTAAATGCCCTCTCCGAAAATTGCTTAATTTCAGAACAACATATAAATATGTATGTTACAAAGATAATTGTGAAAACATTAATGTCTTATTTCGGCATATGTTTCACTTAGATTAATTTCAGAAATAAACTTTTTCATAAGATTCACTCATATTTAATATGCTCACACTATACACAATTCTACAGATAAAAACATTATGCACCAGAAAATAACAAAAAAACTTAATTTGTGTTAATTTTTCATTTTAATTTAGAAAACCTGCATATATTCGTTAAATTTTAAAACAATATTAATCAAGAGGAAAATCAAGAACTAAATGTTATCGAAAACATTGTTAAAACAGCTGGAAGTTTTAAAATCGTTTTTCACGTAATGTATAGCGAGAGAAAGATTTCTAGAAAAGTTCTTTGAATAAATTATTAAACGCAAATCACATCTTTTTTAAAAAAATCATGACTAGAAGATATAGCTAACAATGTGTCTCCTCTTTAAGAACGGATTAAGTATCAGTTTTTGTCGTGACTTTCATATTTACATATGCTCGGCGTACTACTATTTAAATCATTCCAAACTATTAGTATGGATATAAATCAAAGTTTCGATTGCTAAGTAGTCATCAAGAAATTATTACAAGATGAATTTCAATTTCTTCAAAATTGTTTTCACTACTGGAATTTTTCTTCTGTCTTTACTTTCTGGTAAGTAAAAAATTATTATTAATTCTCTCTACTGGGCATTTTAAAAAACTTGCGGTGAATTGATTGACTAAAGTTATATTAGAGAGGTTTCTGTTTACTTACAAAAAAATTTACTTCGGATTTAAAAAAATATCTCTGAACAAAAGTTATCAAAATTTTAAATAAATTAATTCAGACAAAAAGACATCAGTAATTTTTAGTATCTTCATTTAAATTTTTTTGTATCATACATCTTCATTTTGTCTCCATATTAAATTGTTGCTATCTTTCTTTTGTTGAAAATGACAAAATAATGAGCAAAGTATTTATTGAGAAATTCAAAATTAAAAATGTCAAAAACGGATGTTGTCTCTTCCATTAGTGTATGTAGGGTACTGTATAGGTAATCTATAGAATGACTAAGTATGAAGTGAAAAAACTGTTACACGCCTATTATATAAACTGTTACGCGGCTGTATTCCTCAAAAATACAAATATTATTCTGAAAATATTCTGAGTTTTGTTAAAAGAAGTAATTCAAAATACAAAGAAGAGTGAAAGTTGAACAAAACAAAATTTATGATTTTCATAAAAATAATAAATTTAACTTAACCTTCTGTGTTATAAAATAGTAGGCTTAACTGACATTTTAAATTAGACTTGATAACATTCGAAACGTATGTATTTCATAATTGCCGGTTTCTCCTCAGGAATTCTATAGAATGCCTAAGAAATTTGTGAAAAATAAATCAATTTATACAGCGATGGCTAGTTTTAGGCATTCTATAGAATGGCGGATTTCAAACTTTGCCAGTAATATGTATAGTTACTACATGAAATGTCAAAAAATATATTTTATTATCTTATCCTCGAACTTAACTATTTTTTAAAAAATATTTATAAAATTTTTTTCGATTTTTAAAGGTCTTAAAGAGATTATGTTAATTGTAAAAAAAAGTTAAAATTTGTAAATTTTTTTTTCAACTGTAGAAGATATGCTTAAGCTCTAACTTTGACAATATTTTCTATAAAATTTTGAATTGAATGTTAATTATAAAGACTTCAAAATAAACTTTTGGATTGAATCGATTTAAAACGTAAAAGAGGATGGCAGGTACTTAATTGGCAAACATAAATGCACCAAAGATTCGTACAAAGCAAAACCAAATGAATTTGAGAATGTAAGAGGACTGGCTCAGGGCAATGGTGCCTGGAAAAGAGATTAGAGGCCTTATGTGCCAGGGGATAAGTAGATATGTCTGAACTGAAGCTCAAGCTTTAATAATATTTTCTATAAAGGTTTGAATTAAACAGCTCAAAGGCTAAACTTATATTTAATATAGTATAATTTTTGGTACTTAAATGATTATTGTCATATTTTTTCGTTTATTGTGTTTAAAAGCTGGAAAAGTTGGCACATCTTGTCTGGTATTTTTCTTGATAATTGATATTTTTAAAGTGTCGACATGATCCGTTACGAAAATTATAACTGTATTTTTTTTTTCAGAAGTAAATGGAGGACCTTTCAGATTAAACTTGGTTGAGACAAGAAAGGAGATGGAAGGTAACAATACAAACTTTAGCTTTTGATCCATTTCTAAATATATATTCCGAATAATGCTTTTGGTAGAAGATTTTATTGGTGATTGTACAGAAACAGATTTAGATTTCGAGTCATTAATACTTTGAAATCGAGATAATTGTCAAGTCTATAATTTGTTTAGATCATTTATGTTGTTGTGGTTAAAGTCTTTCTATCAATTATTCGTAATAAGTACATATTATTCACAAAAAAGTGTAAAAATATAGCAGCTATGAAAATTAATGTGTAAATCAAAAAGATTTTATTAAGATGTCTGTGAATAATAATTTTTTTTAAAAATGTAGAATAACCTTTAAAGACCAAAGATTGCTTGGAATATAGCATTCCTTGATTGATATATCGAAGACGCCATCTTGTACGGTCTTTGCGAGAGATTTTACTAAGTAGAAAAATAATAGTATTTATAGTAATCAAAATGTTTTTAACGTTGAAATACTGTGCTGATACTAAAAAGCATAATTGCCTCATATACGACTCTGATTCAAATTATTAGTACTTTATTTTTAATGTAAATAATATGCTTGCTGTATACCTGTTCTTCGTACTGGATGAAAGAAAAAGTATAAACTAATCAGTACTGAACAACACTAGAAAATTGTCGACAAAACTTTCAGACAAATACCAAGATAAAGCTAAAATGATTCCAATGTTTTTTAATCATTTAGAATTATTTGTAGCCCTTTTTGGTTAATTTAACAAGTCACGTTATTAAATTTAACGAATTACTTTTATTAGTAGTTCATGTCATCAAAATAAGGACTAACTGTATTCAGGATCACCTGTCATAATGCTGTTGCTCATGACAACACATGATATTTAAAATTTACCGCACTCATGTTACTTTCTCTTGTTCTTGGAAATCGGTAGCCATGGATATTTTAATTTTCCAAAATATTGAAATTAATTTCATACCACATTTTTTTTTCTTGAGTTACTAGCTTTTAACCTAAGAACTAGCCGATGGGCAATGTCCGCACTGCACTGAAAGCATTATAAACGGACGTGGTCCGATCATAATCTGGAAAGGCAAGTAGGTAACAGTCAAAAATAACCCCTTTTCTTTGAAAAAGATGCAATGGTGAATTGGCTTCATGATTCAATTTGAACAGTTAAGTCCAAGAAATTTCCGGTTGCCTTAACGTTACTCGTCCATTTTACTGTTTGATTATTTTATGTTTGTTTTTTTAAAAAAACATTTTAGAGATGAAAACATTTGGTTGGCCTATAGAATGCCATGCTCTGTAGGAAATTTTTGAATTACTGTTTTTTAGACTTAACTTAGTAGCAGATAATTAAATGTGATTTATTTCAACAGATTTTGCAGAGATTCTGAGCTGTAAAATTTGTTTAGCAATTCAGAGTCAATATTTTAATATTTTCCGTATGAAATTAACACTGCCTAGTTAACACAAATTTATAATAATAATTTACCTAACGTAAAAATATTTTCCTAATATGATTGTTTGCATCAAGGATTTTTATTTTTATTTTGCAGGTATAGAAGAAGCTTTTGCTGGTTAAGCATCTGACACCATGACCTTTAAGAAGATAGTCTGTTTAAATCAAGAAACTAACATTGTGTTTAAGATATTAAATAAATGATTTTACAAAATTAATAACTCATAAGTCGTTCTTCCAAACCGTTTTCAAAAACGTTTTTACACTATGCTGCAGGTTGTCTAGAAAAGAAAATTTTTCTATTGTAAACAAAACAGGTAACCATTTTACAAACTCTGATTAAAATAGGGAATTACTCGTTCTTGGATTATTTTTATTTTATAATTGTTGTTTACATATGTAAGACCAGTGTATAAAGAATACTTTGCAGCAAACATTAATTTCTTTTTTCTCTCCCTGAAACTTAAAAATGAAACTGCTAAAACTATTACCATATAATCTAATGAATAACCGTTGCTCACATCAGATTGCCAGTCTCGCAATGCCTACATTTAAGTTTTCTCTTATTGAAACGAAACAGTTACAATTAATCTTTAACTTTTAAATAGTGAAGAATCATAATTATTTTTAAATAAACGATAGTTAAATTCACTGACACCCAACTTTGAATGGAAATAATAGAATCTTTGCAGTAATAAACACAATATCATGAAAAATCACTTTAAAAAAATCAAACATAAGAAATGAAATAACTTCAGTTCAAATTGCAAAAATAAACAACAATTCGTTCAGAACAGCAATTGTCCCTCTTATCAAAATGGCAGTAGGCTACAAACTAACGAATCTACACGCGTTGAGACATTGTGTCCTTTAACCTTGAAACTAGCGCAGCCTGATTTTTAATTCAAAGCAGTTTCCGATGTTAAATTAAAGAGAACAGAAGAGAAAATCGAATGATAATTGAGATTTTGGTACAAAGCAGTGTAGAGTAAAAAATATAATCTGTATAATATAATTAAACCGATCTGTGCCCTATTAAAATGAAAAAAGCCAGTAGTAAAGCCTCTACACGGACATCTGAAAACTGACTGTTTAACCTTTTTAATTTACCGTTTAATATTCCGGAAACAAAAATTCGCAGAGATTTTTCAATAGAAATATTTAAACAAAGAAAAGAAAAACAGTGGATTTTTAAATATTTCTTTTGAAATTTTACTACTAGTATTTTAATTTCGGGAGGATGCTGGACAACTTAATATAAGTCCAGTTACAAATAAAGAAATTGTTTTGAAACATTTTATGTAACTCCTTGTTCACATAAACAATATTTCACATGAGTAAAAGTTTTCAAATACAGAACAGTTCAACACTTTTAAGTGGCTCGATTTTACTGACCCAGTGATTACTTGCCCTTTTTTTTAACAATGTAAAAAATACTGATTATCATCGATTAATAATAATATAAAATCTTTAAGAACAAATCTCTGGTCACATTTTATTTTAAAGTAATTTTCTTGCAATCATGCCCTTTGGGTACGAATTGTATAAATTTCATACAAGAAAGTCAATATTGCTTTAGTTCAAACATATCGCTCACGAGCTACAGTAGTGGCGCAACTCAAAAAACACGAGTTTTGGACTAAGAACATGTGTTTTTTTTTTAATGGCGGGCGCTTAGGGTTTGTCCCATTGACCACAGAAATGCCAGAACTGCTACTCTCTTCTCGTTACCCAGTGTGCACCTGTGGTGAACAAACGTACAAGTTTACTCCAATAGTAGTTTTATTTCTGAAAAAATTAGAAGACACAAAGCAAATTTATGTATCCCTTTATGAGACATAACAAAGACTAACTAGAACAAAAAATGGAAATTGACGAATGACGAATCTAATGAATGACGGAAACTGACGAATGGTTAATTCTTTTCCCTTAATTAGCCAAGAACCTTCGCAGAAGTGTAAAGCAGTTTCCGATGTTAAATTAAAGACAACAGAAGAGAAAATACGATTCGAATTTAGCTTTGCATACGTGCAAAGCAATGAAGAGTTTAAAATACAATCTGTATAGTGCAATATAATTAAGTATACCAGCGTCCTATTAAAACAAAAAAAGGCGGTAGTAAAGTCTCTAAACGAATATCTGAAAACTCACCGTTTAACCTTTTCAATTTACCGATTAATATTCCGGAAACAAAATTTCGCAGAGATTTTCCAACAGAAATATTAAAAAAAACAGTGGATTTTTAAATATTTGTTTTGAAATTTCACTACTAGTTTTTTAGTTTTGGGAGGACGCTGTGACTCCTTGTTCACATAAACTAATATTTCACATGAGTAAAAGTTTTTAAATACGGAACAGTTCAACACTTTTAAGTGCACTTTACTGGTTCGGTTTACTGACCCAGTGATTACTAACCCCTTTTTTAACAATGAAAAAATAATACTGAAATTTATTATTGAAGATGATTATCATCGATTGATAATATTAAATCTTGAAGAACAAATCTCTGGCCACCTTATTTTTAAAGTAATTTTCTTGCCTTTACCAAATGTTGCAATCATGCCCTTTGGGTACGAATTGTATAAATTTCATACAAGAAAGTCAATATTGCTTTAGTTCAAACATATCGCTCACGAGCTACAGTAGTGGCGCAACTCAAAAAACACGAGTTTTGGACTAAGAACATGTGTTTTTTTTTAATGCTAGAATAAGCTTTTTTTCGCTTATTCTAGTTTCAGTACTTCTCAGAACTAACAAAGACTGAAATATATTGCTGTAATTTTATTATTTATATAATACTAGTGGGCTGTGACCCCTACTCGCTAACGCTCGCCAACCCCCGAAAATTGCAACGCAATCTTATATGATTTGCTTCGCAAACCAACCTCGCTTCTCTCGCTACTAACTTAGGTACATTGCAAATGCACAAAATTCTAAAAATTTAAAACAATCATTCAAATCCATATAAAACTTTTTTTTTTTAAATTACATCTTTTTAGTAAATACTAAGTCATGAAAATAAATTTAAATTCAAATAAATGACATGTAATTCGTTAAACCTATTAGAAATGTGCTATAGTATAATTCGTAATATAAATCAAAAATCGTCAAATAAATTCGTAATATATAATTTCGTGAAAAAAAGCGCTTTCGACAAAATACTAAAATAGAGATCTATCGACAAAGACTACTCACTTCTGCCTAGCTTAATAGTATGAGATTGCCGCAGCTGATGCTCTCTGGTTATTTCAGTTTCCGTTTTTAAAAGCGCTATATGTTGAGCCACCTCAGCTAGATTTGGCATGTGACATTTTTAGCGGCAATCATTGGTCGATTCGCCGTGTAAGAGAAATAGTAACGTAAACAAAACAAAGCAAACGTGGCGACCGGCGGAAAACAAATACAGCCAAAATTTGGGAGCCACGTAAGAGAATTATATATATTAGATATGATAGTGATATGGTTAGTAATTAGACCTTACATTTTGAAGCTGTTTATAAGTATATATTTTAAGTGGAAAAATTACAGTATCCAGCGAACTGTGAAACAAATGCAATTAGAGCATTTAATTTATATTTGTCAATTATTCATTTGGTGTTATATTCTAATTAGGCAATTCAACATGATTATTTTTAATTTCAAAAATCTCCACAATTAACGATAAAGAAGTTTTTCAGTAAAACTATTAGAAAATGATACACAGAAGCTATCGTTGCCTTTGTACCATATTAAATCGAGTTTCACTACTATTATAAAAATATACTGAAGAAAAATCTGTCCTAGGGTACCGAAGTTAAGCAACCAAGAAATAAACGTAACTATCACACTCGTAATAACTCTCTTATGGGTATATTTCCTCAGCACTTGCTCATACAGTTGATCTTGAACGATGTTTGGAAAGATGTGGGGGGGAAAATCAAAATTGTCAAATATAGAAACTGAGTGATTTTTAGTAAGCGAACTGTCCGGCTTCTTGGTAAACATCTTAAAATAGTTGCCCAAATTACTTATATAAAATTCAGCTTTTATGAAATGGCGTAAATAGTGTCCCATTTCCTTAACCTAATTAATTAATTTTGCAGTTTTTTGGTGCTAAGTATGCTTGCGAGCATTGCATGGAAATGATTGCTGTAGGATCACTTTTTATACTGGTAGCAAGAGACTTTCAGGTGAATTTTTTTTAAAACAATGCCGATTGATTAAAAATATATATTATTGAATCGCATTAAAACTATAGCTTTTAGAGAGAAACTGATTGCAATATCGATCAGCAACGCAAAAATATTTAAGTTACGGAAGCATAATTCAACATGAAACTGAGGGGGGGGGTTATGTTTCTTATTATTACTTTGAATAAAAGTAATAATAAGAAAAAAGCATTAAAATGTTTTGAGGAAATAACAGTTACGATTTTACGCAAGCTTGGGTTGGAAAAAAAAATCTAAATCTATTCGAAATGTTAATTATTAGAAGTAATCACTATGCCCAAGTGCAGCTTTTCGATTTCGAGCTTTCTTACAAAAATGTTTCTATCTCTTAATTTTTAAACTCTCGCTATTTTATGTTAAAAGTTTGCTTATTTTGATTAGTTTCGCTTGTGGCCTTTGCTTAAAATGAGTAATTAAAATTGCCTCAAGAGGACAATAATGAACTACGGACTGGGAGTCAAAGTTATTATTATGAATTCGACAGATATAAAAGAGATTTAACTTGAAAAGGAAATCGGTAAAATCTTCTTTAAAAATAAATTTATTCAATAAATGATTTGTCTTTGTACTTTTAAATTCCTATGTGCTTGTATTTTGTTTAAATAATATTTTCTATTGTTAATTAATATCTGAACAAAGTAAGCTGAAAATTAACATCATCGAAATAATAATTAAAATATTAAACAAAATACGAAGTATGTACAGAAACTTAAAAATAGAGTTCCATGAAAATTTATTTCTAGTATCTCAATACATTTTTATTACTGGTCAACTGTGTTTGGGTTTTTTTTTTTTCAAAAGAAATAAATTCAGTTTTGGTCATAAATCTATCTAAAACAATAAGAAAAGAAGCAATCTAACATCTTTAAGAGAAAAGTTTTAAGTGTTTTGCATAAAAATGAAAATTACTTTTAAGTATTACGAAATGTTTATAAAATTTTGAAAAAACATGTTTTAGGAAAAAAGATTTTAAAATATAAATTTTTAAAATTAATTGAATTAAGCAACTTTATTGCAATTGAAAAAATACTTTTTTGAGAGAATTGGAAGAAATAGAGTATCTCTTTTTCAAAAAAAAATTTAAAGTAGTTGGCAATTTACACTAAAATAATTCTTTTATTTAATAAAAGATAACAAAATATTTAATTTTTCGAGCTTACTTAATTTAAGAAGAACACCGTTTTAAACTAATTATTTATTTATTTTTGATTTGTTAATATGACGATTCGGTTAATATATTATAAAAAGTTAGAAAGTTGTAGTTAACTTTTACTACAATTTTTTAAAGAAAAAATTCATAATTGTCTTACTATTTTATTTTGAAAAAAGATACTGCAACCATTGTATTTTTAGCTAAATAGATCGCTTTTAATCTCTCTCTTTAAATGCCCTCTTCAAAAATTGCTTTATTTCAGACCAACATATAAATATGTATGTTACAAAGATAATTGTGAAACCATGAATGTCTTATTTCGGCATATGCTTCACTTAGATTAATTTCAGAAATAAACTTTTTCATAAGATTCACTCATATCTAATATGCTTAGACGATACACAATTCTACAGATAAAAACATTATGCACCAGAAAATAACATAAAAACTTAATTTGTGTTAATTTTTCATCTTAATTTAGCAAACCTGCATATGTTCGTTAAATTTTAAAACACTGTTAATCAAGAGGAAAATCAAGAACTAAATGCTATCGACAACATTGTTAAAACAGATGGAAGTTTTAAAATCGTTCCTCACGTAATGTATAGCGAGAGAAACATTTCGAAGAAAATTCTTTGAAAAATATTTAAAAATTTAAAATATTAAATGGAAATCACATCTTTTTTAAATAATCATGACTAGAAGATATAGTTAACAATGTGTCTCCTCTTTAAGAACGGATTAAGTACCAGTTTTTGTCGTGATTTTCATATTTACATATGCTCGCCGTACCACCATTTAAACCATTCCATACTATTACTACGGATATAAATCAAATTTTCGATTGCTAAATAGGCATCAAGCATTTATTTCAAGATGAATTTCAATTTCTTTAAAATTGTTTTCGCCACTGGAATTTTTCTTCTGTTTTTACTTTCTGGTAAGTAAAAAATTATTATTAATCCTCTCTACTGGGCATTTTAAAAAACTTGCGGTGAATTGATTGACTAAAGTTATATTAGAGAGGTTTTTGTTTACTTACAAAGAAATTTAATTCGGATTTAAAAAAATATCTCGGAGCAAAAGTTATCAAAATTTTAAATAAATTAATTCCGACAAAAAGACGTAAGTAATTTTTATTAAATTTTTTTCTATCATACATCTTCATTTTGTCTCTATATTAAATTGTTGCTATCTTTCTTTTGTCGAAAGTGACAAAATAGTGCTCAAAGTATTTATTAAAAAATTCAAAAGACAAAATGTGAAAAACGGAAATTGTCTCTTCCATTAGTGTAGGGTACTGTATAAGTAATCTATAGAATGACAAAGTATAAAGTAAAAAATATGTTACACGACTATTAAATAAATGACAACTGTATTCCTCAAAAATACAAATATTGTTAAACATTCTGAGTTCCGTTAAAAAAAGTAATCTAAAATAAAAAGAAAAGTGACAGTTTAACAAAACAAAATTTATGATTTTCATATAAAAAAAAATAAACCTTGTGTGTTATAAAATAGTAGGCTTAACTGACATTTTAAATTAGACTTGATTACATTCGAAACGAACCTGAGATGTATTTCATAAATTGCCGGTTTCTCATCAGGAATTCTATAGAATGCCTAAGAAATGTGTGAAATATAAATAAATTTATACAGCGATAGCTAGTTTTAGGCATTCTATAGAATGGCGGATTTCAAACTTTGCCAGTAATATGTATACTTACTACATGAAATGTCAAAAAATATATTTTATTATCTTATCCTCTAACTTAACTATTTTAAAAAAAATATTTATTACAATTTTCTTTTCGATTTTTAAAGGTCTTAAAGGGATTATGTAAATTGTAAAAAAGAAGTTACAATTTGTAAATTTTTTTTTCGACTGTAGAAGATATGCTTAAGCTCTAACTTTGTCAATATTTTCTATAAAATTTTGAATTGAATGTTAATTATAAAGACTTCAAAATAAACTTTTGGATTGAATCGATTGAAAACGTAAAAGAGGATGGCAGGTACTTAATTGGCAAACATAAATACACCAAAGATTCGTACAAAGCAAAACCAAATGAATTTGAGAATGTAAGAGGACTGGCTCAGGGCAATGGTGCCTGGAAAAAGAGATTAAAGGCCTTATGTGCCAGATATCACGAAGGGGATAAGTAGATATGTCTGAACTGAAGCTCAAGCTTTGATAATATTTCCTATAAAGGTTTGAATTAAACAGCTCGAAGGCTAAACTTATAATTAATATAGCATAATTTTTGGCACTTAAATGATTATTATCATATTTTTTTCGTTTATTGTGTTTAAAAGCTGGAAAAGTTGGCACATCTTCTTTGGTATTTTTCTTGATAATTGATATTTTTAAAGCGTCGACACTATCCGGCATGAAAATTATAACTTTATTTTTTATTCAGAAGTAAATGGAGGAGTTGGACTAGGGAAAAGAAGGGAGACAAGAAAGGTGATGGAAGGTAACAATACAAACTTTAGCTTTTGATCCATTTCTTAATATATTCCGAATAATACTTTTGATAGAAGATTTTATTGGTGTTTGTGCAGAAACAGATTTAGATTTCGAGACATTAATACTTTGAAATCGAGATAATTGTCAAGTCTATAATTTGTTTATATCATTTATGTTGTTGTGGTTAAAGTCTTTCTATCAATTATTCGTAATAAGTACCTATTATTCACAAGTACCTATTATAAGTACGTATTATTCACAAAAAAGTGTAAAAATATAGCTGCTATGAAAACTAATGCGTAAATCAAAAAGATTTTATTGAAATGTCTATGAATAATTTTTTTAAAAAATTTAGAATTACTTTTAATGCCCAAAGATTGCTTGGAATCCAGCATTCATTGATTGATATATCAAAGACGCCATCCTGTACGGTCTTTGCGAGAGATTTTACTAAGTGAAAAAATAATAGTATTATTTATAGTAATCAAAATGTTTTAAACATTGATTTACTGTGCTGATACTAAAAAGCATAATTGCCTCATATACGACTCTGATTCAAATTATTAGTACTTTATTTTTAAATGTTATATAATATGCTTGCTGTATACCTGTTCTTTGTACTGGATGAAAGAAAAAGTATCAACTAATTAGTACTGAACTACACTACAAAATTGTCGACAAAACTTTCAGACAAATACCAACACCAATAATAAAGCTAAAATGATTCCAATGTTTTTTTTATTCATTTAGAATTATTTGTTGCCCTTTTTGGTTAATTTTACAAGTCACGTTGTTAGATTTAACGAATTATTTTCATTAGTAGTTCATGTCATCAAAATAAGGACTAACTGTATTCAGGATCACCTGTCATAATGCTGTTGCTCAAGTCAACACATGATATTTAAAATTTACCGCACTCAAGTTACTTTCTCTTGTTCTTGGAAATCGGTAGCCATTGATATTTTAATTTTCCAGAATAAGAATATTGAAATTAATTTCATACCACATTTTGTTGTTTTTTTTCTTGAGCTACTAGCTTTTATCCTAATAACTAGCCGATGGGCAATGTCCGCACTGCACTGAAAGCATTATAAACGGGCGTGGTTCGATCATAATCTGGAAAGGCAAACATGGTAGCGGTCAAAAATATCCCTTTTTCTTTGAAAAAGATGCAATGGTGAATTGGCTTAATGATTCAATTTGAACAATTTAGTCCAAGAAATTTCCGGTTGCCTTAACGTTACTCGTCCATTTTACTGTTTGATTATTTTATGTTTATTTTTTTAAAAAACATTTTAGAGATGAAAACATTTGGTTGGCCTGTAGAATGCCATGCTCTGTAGGAAATTTTAGAATTACTGTTTAAACTTTACTTAGTAGCAGATAATTAAATGTGATTTATTTCAACAGATTTTGAAGAGATTCTGAGCCGTAAAATTTGTTTAGCAATTAAGAGTCATTATTTTAATATTTTCCATATGAAATTAACACTGCTTAGTTAACACAATTTTGTAATAACAATTTACCTAACGTAAAAATATTTTCTGAATATGATTGCTTACATCAAGGATTTTTATTTTTATTTTGCAGGTATGGAAGAAGTTTTTTATGGTTAAGCATCTGACACCATGACCTTCAAGAAAATAATCTGATTAAATCAAGAAACTAACATTGTGTTTAAGATATTAAATAAATGATTTTGCATAATTAATAACTCATTAAGTCGTTCTTCCAAACTGTTTTCAAAAACATTTTTACACTATGCAGGTTGTCTAGAAAAGAAAATTTTTCTATTGTAAACAAAACAGGTAACCATTTTACAAACTCTGATTTTAATAAGGAATTACTCTTTCTTGGATTATTTTAATTTTATAATTGTTGTTTACATATGTAAGACCAGTGTATCATGAATACTTAGCAGCAAACATTAATTTCATTCTTCTCTCTCTGAAACTTAAAAATGAAACTGCTAAAACTATTACCGTATAATCTAATGAATAACCGTTGCTCACATCAGATTGCCAGTCTCGCAATCCCTACATTTAAGTATTCAAACGAAACAGTTACAATTCACCTTTTACTTTTTAATAGTGAAGAATCATAATTATTTTTAAATGTATAATAGTTAAGTTCACTGACTCACAAATCTGAAAGTAGATAATAGTATATTTGCAATAATAAACACAATATCATGAAAAATCAATGTAAAAAAATCAAACATAAGAAATGAAATAACTTCAATTCCAACAGTAAACACCAATTCATTCAGAACAGCAATCGTCTCTCGTTTCAAAATGGCAGTAGACGGCAAACTACCGAATCTACCCTCGGGGAGACAGTATGTCCTTCAACTTTGAAACTAGCACAGATTAGTGGTCAATTCTTTTCCGTAATTCAGACAATAACCTACGCAGAAGTGCAAAGCAGTTTCCAATGTTAAACTAAGGAAGAGAAAATATGTTTCGAATTTAGCTTTGCAAATATGCAAAGTGAAGAGTAAAAAATACAATATGTATAATGCAATATAATTATGAATACCAGCTTTCTATTAAAACAAAAAATGCCGGTAGTAAACTCTCTGAATGAACAACCGATTTTATTGTGTTTAACCTTTTCAATTTGATATTCCGAATACAAAATGTTGCAGAGATTTTCCGACAGAAATATTAAATAAAAACAGTGGATTTTTAAATATTCGTATTTGAAATTTTACTACCAGTTGTTTAGTTTTGGGAGGGCGCTGGACAACTTAATATAATATAAATTCAGTAACAAAAGATGAGAGAAAGAGAGAGTTGTAAATTTTTGGGGCAAGACCCATGATTTGGCTACACCGCCCCTAAAACTAGGTTAAAAGGTCATATAACGCAGTTAAAATTAAAGCACTTGGTCAAAATCTATGAACCCCAGTTTAAATCCAAACGCGAGGTTAAATTTGAAAAAAACTTGGTTACAATCAAAACAAAACTGAAGTAATTAGGCTAAAATCAATATAATTAGATAAAACTGGTTAATTTATTAAAATTTGAACTAAATAGAATCATAAAATCCGATGTATTTAAGTTAAAGTATTAAGTTAGTATGTGGTAGTAAAGTGTGTTAAATAGCGTCTCCAAGTAAATACAATAAAGTTGGAAAGTAGCAGTTAAAGTACTGGCTTCTTTTCAATTTAAATTTTAAACTCAGTGTCAAGAAATGTTTCACTGTAAGAGGTTCGCGGCAAAAATTTCATTCAAAAGTTTCATTTAAATTAAATACTTATGCGTTAAACGAGTATGACCAATTCGTAATATGTTAATGGCGACTTGTGATTTTCTGTTTTGGTAACTTGGGGAAAATGGTTTAAGTAATGGTTTTATTTCGTGCAGCTTGTTATTTAGTTCCCCATCCCAGTCAACTTGTCTTTGCTGCATTAGTGAATCCGCAATACATTTTTGAACATCATATAAAGATAGTGATTTATTGGGGAGATTGTGTGTTGACTTGGCTATTGAGTCAGCTTTTACATTACCTGTAATGCTTACATGTCCCGGGATCCAAACAAATATTATTTCAAAGCTATTGTTACTGAGGTTTAAATATATACAGTCAGTCACAAAAGTCTACATACACCCGCTAATATTCGCAGATCTAGCACTTTACTCATATTTTTAAATATACAACTTTATTTTCGTTAACATCTTGGATAAAACCTCATATCTAACAAAAAAAAATTATGAACAAATTCGTTAAAATATAACAAAAATTAACAACACATTAAATTATATAGTCACAAAAGTCTACATACAGAGACAGAACAATACAAACTTTCAGAATTAAATGCCAAAAAATGTAACATTAATACTTTGTAGGACCTCCCTTTGAAGTAACAACTGCCTGAATTCGGTTTGGCATCGACATAACCAGATTTTTTGTCGTCTCAGGTGTAATTTGAGACCATGCAAGCTCTATTGCCTTCTTTAGGGTTTCCTTGCTTGTTACCGATTGCTCCCGAACTCTCCTATCAACTTCCTCCCAAAGGTGCTCGATGGGATTAAGGTCTGGGGACTGTGGCGGCGAATGGAGCTGTTTAGGCGTTTTATAGAGTAGCCATTCCTTAACAATCTTAGCTGTATGTTTTGGGTCGTTGTCTTGCTGGAAGACAAAGTTGTTCCCAAGTCCCAATTTTCGAACCGATGGAAGTAGATTGTCTTGCAAAATCTTCAGGTATTCAAATCGATTCATTATGCCATCGATAAACACTAAATTGCCAACTCCAGCGGCCGCCATTGCTCCCCAAACCATAACACTGCCTCCACCGTGTTTCACAGTTGGAGTCAAATTCCCGGGATTCATTTCTGTGTTTTTTTTCCTCCAGATTTTTCTGCGGCCATCACTCCCGAACACATTGAACTTACTCTCGTCTGTAAAAACAACTGTTTTCCAAAAATTAAAATCTTGGTCAATATGTGCAGAAGCAAAATCAAGTTTCTTTTGTTTGTTAGTAGATGAAATGAACGGCTTTCGTCTAGAAACTCTAACATTGTAGCCGGCTGATCGAAGAATTTTACGAACAGTTTCTGGATGCACTTTCTTTCCACTAGCTGTTGCAATTTGATTTGCTAATTTTGGAGCACTAATTTTCGGATTTTTCTTCACTTTTCTTGCTATGGTTCTTGCATCACGATCATTAAGCTTCCTTACACGACCACATCGATATTTGTTAAGCATATTTCCACGCATAACATGCAGTCATTTCTGTAGATTGTTTGAACAGTTGACCGACNTTCGGATTTTTCTTCACTTTTCTTGCTATGGTTCTTGCATCACGATCATTAAGCTTCCTTACACGACCACATCGATATTTGTTAAGCACTTTTCCACGCATAACATAATTTCTGTAGATTGTTTGAACAGTTGACCGACTTTTTTTTTACAATTTCTGCATAAGATTTCTTTTCACATTTCATTTTTACTATCATATTTCGAAGTTCTAAAGATATTTCCTTTCCCTGACTCATTTTGTTGAAGTTATAATGTCAAAAAATCTCGGGAAATGAAGATTAGAATAGATAACGAAACATGTAACCTCAAACTAAGACAATCTTCCAAAATAACTTCGTATGCAAATTTTTTTCCGTCCGCATATCAGCTGTATGCAGACTTTCGCGACTTGATAATTACTATACAAATCACAAAATTACCTAGAAATTATTATTTCTGAATATTTTTATTATGGAAAGCAAATTTTTTAGAAAAAACTGAAGGAGTGATATGATTTTTAAAATTGAAATTTAATTGCTTTTTGAGAAACCTTTATTTTGATCAGTGTATGTAGATTTTTGTGACTGACTGTATTTAGTATATGAGATGGATGATAGAGTGAGGTGTACTGTCAAGATTCTTAAGTGCATCGATGCAACTTTTAGAATCAGGGAAAATCAGCCATATTTTGTTCAGTTGCCCAGAAATAAACCGAAGAGCGAGTAAAATAGCGTTGCATTCAGAAGAAAAAGCAGAATGCAGCTTCTCTGAAATTACCTCTGAGTCACACACAGGCCATGACTGGAATCTAAAATCGGCCCGGGCATTTTAGAGATATCGGCCCTCTACTTCACATAAACACCGCGTGCGTGGCTCCTAATGTATCATTTTAAAGCATTTTTTACTTATAAATTCTCATGAACGGAAGTTAATTTATCGAAGCAGGAAAGTAGATAAAAATTTCTTAATAATCCTTTATAGAATATATTTCAGTTTAAAATACATAGTTCTTATGAGGAAACATAAGTTGATAAAATCAAAAAGAAGGTGAAAGATGAAGAGTAAATATAAATATTTATTATGCTACACATACATGAATGATTTATATAAACACTTTTTTAAAAATAGATTTAATGCTTCTTCAAAAGTCATTAAATTAAATAATGACTAATTTCATTTTTACTATCATATAATAATTTAATTTAATGACTTTTGAAGAAGCTCACTATTCTCAGCCACTTTATCGATTATGTCATTGCTTTCTAATTTCATTAATAGACCTTTTTCTATTGCCAATACCATGAGAGCATTCAAATTATCCGAAGATAAAGTACTCCTCATTCGATTTTTAATTACTTTTAATGTGGAGAATGATCTTTCACAAACCACCTAACTTATTGACAATGTTAGTAAAAATTTTAATGCTAGACCAATTAAATTGTAAGAATTGTTCAATAAATTGAATCTCTGTAATATCTTGTAGCAACAAATAACACAATTTTCGCACGCACTGCGAGAATTACTTCTTCATAGACTTACTTCTTCTTCTGTTTCCAAAGTCGTTATTATCTTCATTTGAATGATCTTCTCTGATTATTTTATAATCTTCTAAGTCTGATTTTTTCAGTTTTAAAGAAATTACGTTAAGTTTCAGGAAAATTTTAAAGAAAGTACAAGTTAAAAATATGATTTTTATGTATTTTAATACAGAATTCTAACAAAATTGAAAAGACTTTTATATTTCTCTTGTATAAAATAACAGAAATTTATCTTTAGCAGTTTATAAGATTAAAAGTCCATTAAGAATAGCTGTTTCATAAAAATTCCTTAATTTTTCAATCAAAATATGAAAAAATATTGCATAAATAAATACAATATGTACTAGTCAATTTGCTATGCAAACAAATATCAACTTTATTACTATTTTTACTAGAAGACAATGAAGTGTATAGCGTATTCAAATAATATTCA